GTACGCGGAGTATCTGGGGAGCTGGAAGATGAGAACTGGCGAAGTTGTAGTACAACTTTAGTACGCGGAGTATCTGTGGAGCTGGAAGATGAGAACTGACGACTTTGTAGCACAACTTTAGTACGTGGAGCAATCTGTGGAGCTGGAAGCTGAGAACTGGCGACTTTGTAGTACAAATTGAGTACGCGGAGTATCTGGGAAGCTGGAAGATGAGAACTGGCGACTTTCTAGTACAACTTTAGTGCGCGGAGTATCTGGGGAGCTGGAAGATGAGAACTGGCGACTTTGTAGTACAACTTTAGTATGCGGAGCAAGCTGTGGAGCTGGAAGCTGAGAACTGGCGACTTGGTAGTACAACTTTAGTACGCGGATGAGTCATCTCTCGCGGCTGCTCTGGCGCCCCTGCAGCCGAGTCATGTCTCCCGACCACCCGGCTCTCTTGAGAGGTTGACAAATTTTAGCTACTTTGCTTACTCATAAGTGGCTGCCACAAAAGAGTCATCGTGACGTTAGTATCATGACAAACGATGATCGCTTGGAATACACGAGTGGCTTGTCATGATCGTGACGTCGTTTACTCTCAGGTCGCCCTGTTCGTGGAAACTTCAGTGTGAAATGTACGTTCTTCAGCTCTACTTGAACCTCTTCAGCGTTGTACTTGCACAACTAAGGTTGACGTTGCGCTGCCGTTGCATCGACGCATCTACGTCTACACCCCCTCACCTCTCTACATTTACATCTTCACACGCTCACATCCGCAGATCTACCTCTCCACCTCACCACACCCACACATCTGCACATCTATATCACATCTGTACATCCACACTGTCGCTCCTTCACATCTGTCCTGTCTTTCTTTCTTTCTACATATCTTTTCTCTCGTCTCTGTGCATTTACATCTTCGCACGCTCACCGCTCACATCCACGGATCTACCTCTCCACCTCCATACATCTACAGATCTATATCGCACCTGCACATCCACACTGTCACTCCTTCACATCCACCCTCTCTTTCTCTCTGTCTATACATCTTTTTGACAGTGCTGGACAATTACATGTCCCGCTCTCGGGCCAACCGTCGTCTAGTTTTATAGTTGATATCAGTTTATGAGTGGTTGAAGTATGCTGCAGAAGCATATCTTTGTGGTGGCTCACTGGAGACGAACGTAACAGTAGTATGTACAGTGTACAGCGTGAATCTGTGAAGGCCAAAGATCACCTGTTTGGTAGCCTGCCTCAGGGACGAGGGCATGGAAAGGCTAAGGAGAGGGTCAGTAGTGTGTGGAATTGATGACAGCTTGGGACCAGGTCCTCCAGTTTGTTTTTGGTGTGTTTCCTTTGTCCGCTTAGTAAGAGACTCTCATAATCTTTTCCGCACTGAAGGCCAGAGAGGCTGTCTCGGGTGTATGATATATCAGATTCCGGTTAGAACATGGTTAGAACTTGTAATTATGAAACATTCCACTGATTTAACATCACAAAATCCGGGTCGGCTGTATCCCAGTGTCCTTTGCTTGGCCATTTAAACCATACCCGCACGGTGTAGTGTCACTTACAAGATTTCCTTTGCAAAACCTACCAGTACCACAAAACAAGAAACTTCCAACGAATCCGAAGACTTCCCTCTTTTTTTCTTTCTTTGAGGATCCATCACCCAATGGGAGGCACAGGAGTTTCGGTGTTTTTTTGTGGGTAAGATCGCTTGACATCCCCAACAAATAGATGGAAATGTTTTTGTTTTCGGTCGGGTCGCAGCAGGATCATCGCAGAGGTCATTATTGGGCAGCGCTCCTGGTGTTGCGGAGTTCTTCCGTCACAAACAGTTCTATAACAAACACTCCCATATTCATATAAACGTTATAACTATAACACATCCCGTTTCACTCTCACCTTGGGATGAAGAGTAGCATGCTGTAATTGTATATGATACGATTAATTATGTCCAAACCATTTGCGAAACAACATGCCACTGGGTGGATATTTTAGTATTCTATTCTTTGTAAGTACTTCGAACCAATGCAAGTGACTGTGGGTTTCAGCAAAAAAACACTCTCTGCCTCCAAGCGGTACCCAGCTTCCCGGAGGTGCCATAAACGTAATGGCGACATACTGCAAAGTCCTTCTACTTCAACCACCCACACAAAGTCAAGGTGTATCAGCATTGTCTAGTCGATATTCAATATCCTCTCTACCTGCACTGCCAGCAGAGTAGCTCAACATGCAGGCTTGACTTAAAGGTCCAATCCAGATTTGTGGCATTTTGAAGGTCTACTACTTCGAAAATGCAGAGCTGGCGCTCTTGCACTTGGTGGCAAGCTTATATAATTCTAAAGATCAATTTCAGTGTGACTCTTCCACAGGCACCCACAGGCCTTCGGTTTGCACGGTGTGTGCAAATAGCCTTTGCCTTTGGCGTCAGGTCTCCCATCCTGCCTTCGGAGCAGGGATTGGTGAAACCGCTGAGGCTGAGGGAGCAAGTTTGACAAACTTTGGTCCCTGCTGTTTGTTCTTCAAAGGTTGATTGTTGGCCCCATCACAAAGCTTTAATCAACAGCTGGTTTATGTTCAGTGATTGGACAGGGCATCGATTCTGGATCGTTGCGCGTGTCTTTTGCCCTCAAAGAGCTTGGAGATCGAGGACTGGTCTATGGCTAAAGGGGAGTGGACACAAGTAAAAGCAACATGATGGAACCCCATCATTACAGGAATGTCCTTGTTGATACTCCTTGGTTTTGCATTGTCATGAATTTGGGTGCTCTGGGTGTTGCTTAGCAAAGAGGGTGAATAATTAGTTGTTCTGTATCGATCGGTGGTATCGATGATGTCGAGATTTACTTCAGTACACCAGTCGCTGTTGTGCTGCGGCGCTAGCATGGCAGTGCCAGCAGCCACTGAATTAGTTGTGCTTTATGCAGGTAATCGCGATGACGTTAGACCGTTAGAGTATTCTACAACACAAGTACTAAACTAGGCACATCATACTCATACTCGCTGAAATGTACTTGCTAAGCTCTCTCACCCCCCACCAAATGATATAAATATAGCCAAGCCCAGTTTGTTTACGATTTGAGCGTTGTGGAAATGCAACTGTTCCCCTTGATTTGTTGACTTGCCGACGTATGCTCGCACACAGATAGCGCATGCAAGGCAAATCTATAGATTGGTTTTCATCGCATGCCCACTGGAGCTCTGGAATTGCTAGGGCCAACAAACCCTCCTTTGCACAGCTTCTCATGTGCTGATAGAAAGAAACATAAATCAGGTTACTGAACTGTAGATACTACCATAGATGGGCGAAATATTCAAACCCTTCATACCGCTTGGACCCCTTCCACCCCAAAACTCAATGTTAGCGAGCCTGCCAGAGTGTTTCGGCGAATGGACGAAACAAATCAAACCCTGGCAACACAAATTCAATGAAGTCATGTTCAACATTGAGACCTTTGGGGGTTGGGGGTTGGTGACAGTCATCGACTGAGGAGTTTGAATATCGAATATTTGGCCCATCCTTCCCCCTTCCAGCCTCCCCTCTCATCACCTGGCATGTGCCATCTTAGTGTTCACATTCATCCCATGTCTCCCTCCTCTGCCGCCTCTTACCCTGCATTGATCACTTTGATTGACGACGTTCATTCGATTTTGGTGTCCCTTTGATTGAGGTTTTTGTTTAGTTTAAGTTGGCACACTAGCCTCCCCGTTCATTCAAGTGCCATCTGCAAAAAATGTCCAAAAGTCAAAAAGTAGTGGATATGCTATCCGATCAAGCGTGAGTCAAATGCCATCTATGTGTGATGGACTATATATTTGTTTAGGTTGTTCATTGTGTTTCATGGGTTTTGCTTATGCGCGCGTTTATGGTTGACCGTGTTTGATGCTACATGCTGAACTTCAGCTGCGGAAGGCGCATGAAACACCGCTCGACTTCACTTCACATGGTCACGATCAATGATGACAAAGGTCCGTCAGCATATGCGAACAGATTGCCTACAACCATAGCTTCAAGTTTCTATTCACTCCCCACCTTGGCAACTCCATAACGTGCCAAAGACCAGAGGGACTCACAACATTGACACCGTTTTCGACGCGACTTCCCTCCTGCTAGCGATCCTGCCGACCACTTTCCCCCAGCCGCCGGCGCACCAGGCACTTAACAGACCTTGAATGTAGGAATGTGGCCTTGGTCAAACTTTTCACCCAGCATTTTTGACAATCTTCTGCAGGAGGCAGTCACATCGCGCGGGGCCTCAACCAAGGACATGTGAGGATGAGACGTGCAGCATAAACATCATGCGCAGTTCATATACAGTACTCTTTACAGTTCATGTTCTTCTTCCTGTCAAGTCAACCTTTTACCCTTGACATGGGATGACATGGGGATAGAATAAGGGAGGAGTCAAGGTGACACAGGTCATGCTTAGTCACAAGCGCGCGGAGATGTCACGGTCAAGGTCATACTCAGTCGCTGATTCTTAACTCAATTCACAATCCAAGAGGCACACATGCAGGTGCTTTGGCATATATTTGCCAAAGAATGTGCTTTCAACGCAGGTTTCAATGTACTCTCCTGAAACATGCTCAGACATATTGGCGAGAATCGGCGCATTGTTTTTTTGAGAGTGGCAGGCTGTGGGAGTGCACCTTCTTAGAAGATTGAATGTGATTGAAGATATGTATGCGCTAGCTTTGTGGCTTATCACCATCTAGTGTCAAGTTGCTTTTGAGTCTGGCCCCCTTGTGATGGCAGAGATAGAAGATTTTAAAACGATCATCTCCTTTTACTGTATATTGCATTTTCCCGTTTATGATTCCTTGTCATGTTCTTCTAAATTGAACAATTCCTTTCATTTTCCCTTTACTGTAAAGAATGATTCTTTCCTTCCCCATGTCATGTTCCCTTTTATGAATCCCTTTCAACCTGCAATTTGCATATTTTCTTTCAGTTGTTTGTTTAAACATGATTGATGTGATTATTAATATCTATATCTTTATTTTGTTCTTAAAAATAGTTATTTCCTGTTATTTTCATTGTGTAATTATCTATTCCTTTCATGCATCCTTTGCAAATGATTCATTCCTTTCATTTTCCCTTTAGAAATGACAATTTCCTTGTATATTCTATTTTCCCTTTTACGATTCCCTGTCATTGTCTCTTTAAATTGAACAATTCCTTTCAGTTTCCTTTAAACAAATGATTCATTCCTTCCATACTTCATCTTCCCTTTTATGAATCTTTTTCAACCGGCAATTGTATAATGGCTGTCAATTTTCCTTTTACATCTGATTAACTGTTTTCATTTTCCCACTAAAATTGATTCATACTTCTATTCTGTTCTTTAAAACGATTATTTCTGGCTTTTCCTTAAAAAAAGGACCTTTTCCTTTCATTCATCTTTTGCACATGATTAATTCCTTTCATTTTCCCGTTAAAATTGATCAGATCCTCTCATATAAAAAAATAATGTCGTATTTAATGAGATTGATCAGTGTTGAAAGGGAAAATTACAAGAACTTGTCATTTTCACAAGGTAATTGAAAAGAAATACAAAAATAAAAATAGGGACATCGAAGAATAAACATGTTTAAAAAGAACATGAAAGGAATTCATTATGTTAAAAAGGAAATAGAAATCAAAAAACATTAATCATTTCTAAAAGGGAATAAACACAACAATAATCATTGTTACAAGGACAATAACAGGAAATACTCACTTTAAGAATAGACATGTATTGCAATTTTTAAAAGGAACATAAAGGACATTAATGGTATGTAAAATGAAAATACAAGGAACCAATCAAAACAAAACACAAAAACACAATATTCAGAGAGTCTTGGCTGGGACCCCCCCTCCAGAGAGTCTGGAAATATTGTTTTTGTTGTTCGATGTTTTTGGCTCCCCTCTTAAAAGTGAATCGTTCCTTCCATATGTCATGTTCCCTTTTATGAATCCCTTTCAACCTGCAATTTGCATAATTTCCTTCAATTGTCCTTTTTAATATGATTATACGATTGTCTTCATGTTCCCTTTATTTAAGATTGATTAATACCTTTATTTTGTTATTAAAAATAGTTATTTCCTGCTATTTTCCTTTTGAATTTGATCTATTCCTTTCATTCATCCTTTGCGAATGATTAATTCCTCTTATTTTCCCTCTAAAATCTAGGCCTATTGCCAGTGCTAATGAAAAAAATGTGAAACACTGCACTCCCAGGAGTTGCCGTTCTGTTTTTTTTTGTGCGTTACTGTTTCTAAGCATCGGAAACTTTAACACATACTGTATACTCGGAAACATATGTGATCATATGTGTTTTTTGTTGCAGGTAAACAGTACATATTGTTCATTCTTCAAAATGCGCAACATATTCCGTTGCAAGGCTTTGTTGACACCGGACAGCGGACACCGGTTGAACTCTGTCGTTTTGTCCAGGTCCTGCTCCTGACATGGCATTTGTCAGCGCCGAGAGGTGACGTTTTCGAGGACCTCCAAACGAACAAAACATAGGTGGGCACAGTGACATTGGGTTTCTTGGACGTTTTTTGTGTCGCATGGAGTTTGCCTTTAGATTCTTTAGACTCTTGACATTGTATTTTGTGGCCAGGAACTCTGGTAATTTGCGGGCAACAGATCAACACAGAAGTGTTTTGATGGTGCTTTGCTGCTCTGGTTATGGTGGCTAACTAGAATCCGAAAAGGATTGTCAATGAGTCAATTGTACAGTCACATTGCATGGACAATCCCGAACTTTTCAACTTGAACCAGCGGGCATGCTTACGATGCTGCAAGTGCTTTGGCACTGAAATTGACAAACACCCCACAGATCTGAGCACAAGCCAACCAGTGCCAGGAGCCAATCCCCGTTGGCCCTGACTTGACGAAAGAAGCAGATGCGCAACGCCGCAGGACATCAGGGTGTTCTGTGATGTTGCTAAGGAAATCAAATTCGGTCGAAGAGTCAAATGAAATGAGTTGCAGCATAACATAGGGCCAAAAACAGGCTGTGATTCTGGAACGCAAGCCTGGAGACTCTCTGTAGAGTCTAGAGAGTTGCTGCAGCGAATATTGACGGCTGCTATTATTTTGCTGCAGGGCAGTCCTTTGCCCTCGCCTTGCTTCGTTGCCATTGGACCAGCTTTGCCCTCAGCTAGGGCACCCACCCAAGTGAAAACATACCAGTTGTTTTACAAGTCACTGGCAGATTACTTCGTTGTGGTTTGATTTAGGTCTTCACGTACTGGTCAGTTTGTGTTTTTAGATCTAGGACTCCAGGACTTCTATGCGTACAGACTAACGCTTCTGTGGGCGTTCCAAACATTTCAAACAGCTTGATGTTCTGATGCTGTTGCCTTCACAGGCTGGTTGGGTATCAGGTTGGCATTGACGCAGTTTTCATTTTAGACACCTTCTGTGATTGGAACTTGAATTTGGCGCGTGAGTATTGGAGCTTGACTTTTTTGGAGGGTTCAACTCTCAAATGCATATCTGTATTGGCGGCGGCACTTAGGAGCAGAGCTGTCCCAAGAATGCTGTTGACATCAAAGAGCATGTTCATGTGCGCAAAGTATGTGATGGGAGATTCGCAGGTAGTGTGCGCTAGTACTCGCCAGGTTGTTGCATGCTGTGCTTTGCAAGGCTGGCCAAAATTGGGACATGTAGGCACAGACGCAATCAGATTCATGCATGATGACAGCTACTCACACTTAGTGAAACTCCAAGGGTTAAAGTGAGATTCCTTCACAAAAGGCATCCAAACACTGTCATGCAACAAGAGTTTGTAAACCACGCGAGTCACCAAGCATCCCCAGAGGCAATTCAGAGAGGTAAACATAATAAATTTGATTTAGTCAGCATAGAGGATGCAAAAGGCAACACCCCCACCCCGAATCATAGGTGTTGACCACACTACGTACTTGATTTTTCTTCATGCGAATCCATTGTGATCTAACATGATGTATATATTTCCCTTGCCAAGACAGAACTTGGATGCAATGCAGGGGTATTGACAGTTGGTACTCAGTTGTTGCAATTACTTTTGTTGCCCTTGACTAGATGCCTTTTGACTAGATTATTCGATCAAGATCAATCTGAACTGAAAGATAGATGCTTTTGGTCAGCTTTGGCAGCAATCCCTACGAACGAAGGACTCACCTGTCACTTCACCGCGGAGAGAGGTGCCGATGGCAACTTAGCCTCATTGTGGGAATGCAATACAACGACCTTGTCCAAAGCTCTTAGGTTGGAGGCCATCGCTCTTAGGTCGGAGGGCAGAGCGGCCTTTCAGGAGTTGAAGATGGCTTAGTCGAGCTAGACTCCGAGGCTGCGAGCACCTCCTTGTCCAGGCAGAGCAAAGATGGAAGCGGTCAAAAATGACGCGCTGATTTGCTGCAATCACGAATCTTGATATCGCATTTCTTTGTGGCACTTGTGCACAATGCGGCATTACATATGTTATACCTAATAATTATATAAGTGTGTGATGGTGTGTACTCATTCAAACGCAACATGGAGACGCTACCACCTTTCATGCCGTTGTAATATATATATATATACATGTACATACATAGGTGTGACTGATAGGATTTTCTTCTCCAATGCCTGCCTTGCCATTGAGGGATCAAACAAACCTTTCCCGGCCGTATTAATCCGTAGTTTGGTACTTACTACATGTTGGCTTTGCAGGTGGGCTGTTTCTTAGGAATGGCTGTGCAATCAAATCAGCATGTTGGACTTTCTGCAAACGACATACAAGTTGAGAGGGCATCAAGATCTCTAAGTGATGTCCAGGGTGATGTGTTTGCTTGTACTGCGTTCAAATAGACAGACGACAGTGAACAAAACATACAAACATCTCTAAGCTAAATGTTGACTTTCTGATCCTAGCTTTTTAAGGGTTGCAGGTCCTAGTCTGGCAGCTCGTCCTGGTGGCAGCGCGCCGAACAGCTCAGGTGCGAGTCGTTGTAGCACAAACCAAGCTCCGTGTACTGCAACTACATGAATCGGAATCTTGCAACAGGCATGTGTTTGGGACAGCAGCAAATTCACACAACAGCTTCGAAAGATACACTTAAATGAAGTGTGCTCTTCGTCGAACTTGAGAGACCATTCAGCTGGCAAAGTGAGATTTAGATAGATTTGGGATGATTTGGGAATAGCTGTCAAAGGCTTTGGCCGTTTCAAAGACAATCTGTTGGCAGTTGCTTGTGTTTGTTGATGTCAGACCCTTTGCAGACAATGTAAGAATGCGACGGTCGTGATTTCATGTTTTATGTGACACGTGCACTCGGACATGTCAAGTTGTCATGGTCACAGTAATACAGTATAATTATCAACGAAGATTCGTGTGATTAAACTTTGGAGGGAGGAGGGGGGTTATCACATCCTCATCGCACTCACAACATCGTCACATGTTGTCACAGTTGCTGAGAGGTTGTATACAATTGGTTTCACATTTCTTCCACAACATTCTGTCATTGTTTTTACAACATTGTCATCTCCACAATTTTGTGGAAGAGTTGCCCTCCAAAATTGGGGTGGAGCTGGATGGGTGAGTTGTCATTTACCGCCACACAAAACCACAACGCTCGCAACATCGTATGCACAATCGTGTTCATCGTGATTTTACAATGTAATTAGTCATGGAGAACCGGCACCACAACTGTGGGCTGTGGATAGTACGTTTTGTCTTCTCCCTGCCCACCAGAATGCAAAAACAACAAATAGTCTATGCCTATGCCTATGTTTTTGTGTTTTTGCCACCCTAGCTATCACAATACTGGTGCATGCAGGGGGATTCTCCCAACAAAGCTGGTAGAGCAAGACATAGCAAGACCAACTTGTGCGTTCCCGACATGTTCAAAGTATTCTTGCCTACTGGACTGATATGTTGTTCTTCCATCTCTTTGCCCTTTGGATCCAGGTCGAGATCCTTGGAGTGGAGGCAGTTGGAAGCAAGTTGCTTTGAGACATCTCAAGTCAACTGGACACCATGACAAATGCCTCAAGCAGAAGTCTCAGAAGTGTTCGTGACCGATTAATGTGGAATATGTCTAATAATATCTAATATATATATAGGTTATATATATTATATGTATATAAACATATATTATTTACACATACTTGAACCGGAGTGCGCGGCAAAAACGTGTGATTATATAATTGGAAGGAGTACTGATGACTGTAGCGTAGCGCTTCTCCTTCCAGCTTTATATGTTTTGGGTGTTGATTGACTGGCAGCACCTCCTGCAATCCAGGTACAGCAGAAAGACTGCTGTTGCAAGAAAGGTCTTTGCGATGTCTCTGATTCAGAGGATGTGCCTGAGAGTTATTGGACTTTTTGTACCCATTGTGTTTGCACAAGATGTCTCCAACCAATTGCGGTGACGAGCATAAACGAACTGCGTGGCATCCTTATGATTTGTTCATTTGTGTCACTCGCAGAGTCACTGCCTTTGAGGGTGTTGATGAGGATTCCACAGAGATCTATTCTCCGAATCACGACCTTTGCTGCAAGTTCTGGGCCCAGGGCCTGCTGACAGTCACAGATCGCGTGGCGATTTTGCTCTGTCGGAGTCTAGCATTGGAGCAAACCCTGTGTCAATGAATCACTCTATATAGTTACATATATACTGTATACTGTAGAGAAAACACTTACTTGTATAGCTAACAGACTTCCACGTGCGATCATTTATGTATTTTGCTTTTGAGGTTCAAAAGCCGTTCTTGTGGCCACATCCTTTCTTGGAGCAAGTTCAAAGATGACGCACCAGATGTCAGTTCTACACTTAGCTTAATTTCTTCTGAGGCAACCCTGCCACGGGCCATGTTCCATCAATTTTCGCTATGGCTCATTGACTCGCTAATTGGGCATTGTCGAAATGGAAGCTTTACCCTTGCCATTAGGCTAGCCTTCGCATATGGGCATGCCTACCCCCTAAAACAGACAGTTTCTCGTGGAAGGAAGGAAGGAAGGAAGGAAGGAAGGAAGGAAGTAAAAAAGGGTCTGAAGGTTTACAGAAGAAACGAGAATAATAAAAGGAATCATAGCCATGAACCAGACAATTACTGTAGTACAGTAAGCTCCATGCGGAAAGCTCTCCTTTGAGCTCTCCTAGGCTTTTGCAAGGAAGCTCCCCATGTGGAGTTTAAACCGCCTCCTCGGCCGCCACAGGCTGGTGACTTTGTTTTGCTTCCTTTTCTGACACCTAAAGTCGCCTAGAAGCTCTGGTCGCCTATCACCATGGTGTTGACGGTTTTGAAAGAAATGCTCCGACCAATGCTCTCTGAAGCGTTAACGTGCGTCAACATGTTGGTCTTTACTCTGCATGAAGCATACCCCCAAGCATACCCACATCCCGGAGCGGGAGCGTCAAAACAATACGTAACAAGAAGCTACTAGTAACAAGTGCATCGCTACTAGTCCTGGCCTAGTAACAAGTGCCTTACTAGTAGTAACAAGAAGCTATTAGAAACAAGAAGCTAATAGCTTTTTGTTACTACTAGTAAGGCACTTGTTACTAGTAGCGTGGCACTTGTTCCTACTATACTCCATATGATATTGCGCTTTTTCACGTTCTTGATACTCCGCCCGTCCAGGTCATCCGCTCAGACGTGAAGCCAGGACATCCGGCGCACACGGTGCGCTTGCATTGCGTGAAAAACATTTGCAAAAGAGGCAACTGTGAGCAAGAACACTCAGCTGTGCAGGTCAAAGCATATTGTGATTTGAGCAGTCAAGAGGACCTTAAGCTCTGAAGTGCAGTGGTGTCAGCTCGATAAGTGTTGGGTCACGGACCATTATTCGACAGATGAAAGAGCCAGAAGGGTCAGGCTTGTCAGGCGTCCAAGTAAAAGACATGGAGCATTTGACTGCCGTTATGTTTCCTGTTCCAATGCATTTAGCAATGTATTTGTTCTTTGCTGAAGAATTGGCTTTGCTTGCGAGACAATTTGTGTGTACATATTTGTCCCTCAATGCTTGCAGCCAGGAGCTTGCAGAGGATGAAGAGTCCGTCGATGACTCTGAAAATGGATTTGGATCTAAGAAAGCCCTTATGCAGAGCATGATCAATGAAATCACAAGCAACTCAATTGCCTGAGTCCCAGTTGCAACAACTCACAGACAAAAGGTGAAATAGACAGGGAACAAGAGGAAGATTGAATCTCAGAGAGAGCGAGAGAGAGAGACAGACAGGCAGGCAGGCAGATGGATGGATGGATGGATTAACAATAAACCCAGTGCTTCAGTTTCGTGCTTGTCAAACCGAGTTCAATGGCTATCAATCATTTGAGACACTAAGGACTCAATGGCAAAGGAGATCTTCTCAATCTATGTTTGCACTCGTTGGGCTCCCAACTCCGAATTTACACAAATTCTGGACGGGGAGATGGCAACAGGTCAGCTGCCAAGAAAGAAGGCTTCAAAGCTCTACAGGGATGGGCGCTTCATCCCCTTGCGATGTAGTGAGAACTTCAAAGTCTTCAGTGATGCAAGCTTGGGCAAGACCAACTTCGAGGTGTTTGAGGGTCAGATGCAGTCCTTGGCCACGTGGTACGCAGCGGAGAAGGATCTCAACAAACAAAGTGTTGACTGTTGTGGAAAGACTTCTAGCAAATGGCTTGAAACCACTTGGCAAAGATTTGTGGTGCAGTGTTAATAGATATTAAAAAACTCGCAACGAATTCAGTTGAGAATGCCAGCACAGAATAGTCATGTACTTGTAGTGTAGTTTGTGAGCACATGTAGGTATTTTACAAGGCCATACCATGTTGAATGCCGCACATGTTGTTAGACTGCTTGTGTTTAGATTTAGATGTTTTAAGCGCTCTTGAATACGCAGCTGAGCAGTGACAACCACAGTTAGCGCCAGCGCAAATGGATGCAATCGTTCGGAAAACGCAGGATGGTGCAGTATCGTCTCGTTTAGCGAAACTGGCAGGCAGTTGCAGGGGCATACAACAGGGCTTGTTTAAAGACTGCGACGAAGCCAGCAATCCGACTATCTTGCTTTCATTGCAGTCAGTCACACGGATGATATTCTTTTGGTTGTTGTAGGTCCAGGTAAGCTGATGTGCTTTTGATGGACCTTTGTTCTTCATCCTGTCATCTTATCTAGGCATCACAAGAGGCTTTACCGAGAAGCTGGGGGTCCATCTTGTCAGGTGTGGATTTGCACCCAGATTTGCGTGAAGCTACGGCCTTTGATCTGGGCACTGTTGCGACTCCCGGCTTTGCAACTGCGTGTTCTTGGGGAAGCTCTTGAAATACTTTTTGGTACACCATCAGCATGCAGTTGCTTAGCTGCTCACAGATAATCCCGTGTACCTTTTTAAAAAAGAAACACTCGGCAATAAAAAAAACACGTCGGAACCTCCTAAATACGGCTTATATGTTTGTTTTAATTACCGCCCTTTAAAGCCGCTATGAAACTACCAACATGGTCGATTTTTGTGTATATAGTTTGTCTTTTTATTAGGTTCCAAAAACAACCGTAACTGCCCACCTTTGTCCACCCTGTCTATCCACCATGACACGCCGCATTTACAACAGCAGGTTTTCCTTCCCCCAATGGCATGGACTCATGCAAACGCACTTGCCACCGAGGTCCTCGCGCAAAACCGCATGGCACAACGACATCACCTTTTGAAAGCTTTAGTTGTTAGTCTAATGAAGAATCATTATTCTAAATTCTAATAAAGGTTTTTGTAGGGGGAAAAGGAAGACCCTTCGATCTGGAGGCTTTTTCAATTTTTGATACGAGTTTAAGGGCTTTATATAACATTTTCCTGGGTGACTGTTTGGTTTTGAAGCTCTTCCCAGGTGACCCTATATTGATTTGTTTTGGACAACCCCGATTTCGGGGACCCCCCTATTCAAAGAAATGCGCCCAAAGTTGTTACTAGGGGGGAATAGGTGGAGAGGATTAGCCAGAAGTTGCAAGTGGCCTTTTGAAAGCCTTGTAGAGGGAAAGGAATTGGAGTGGTCCTTGAAGGCAGTGTCGGTTCTCCTTGTTTCTGAAAGACTGTAAATTGAGAGACATTGAGGCATCAAATCATTGAAGCAAACATGAATTCACCCTCGATCTAGCCAGGAAGGCCGCACAAGGCTGTGACGACTCGCAGAGCTGGATCAGCGTCATTGATGCCAAGAGCCAGGAACCTCTCACTGGGTTCCAAGTTGGAGATTTACAGACAAGATCGATGTAGTTTGTTCAAGACTCAATAATGATTTCATCATGATAGTGGAACATTTAAGAAATGAGTCCCAATGCAGAGTATACATATCGGATTTGTGTCTTGCTTCGCTCCATTCCCCCATGAGAATGAATGTTGTCAGTTTTCTTCATGAGCAATACAAAATTAGATCTCGTAGTCATTGCAGGGGCATTTTCAACAGGGTTGTCCGTTCATGTTTGTTTAAGAAAGTTTAAGTGCCCTTGAATTCGTGTGTATTGAATCCGGGGGCGACATGTATGAAAGATTGCAGACGTGAAATTATTGTACCAACTACTATGTATTTGTATAGATGTTCAAACGCAACGCCTTCGGCGGTAGATTGAGTGCAGCGAAGGAACTCCTCTCCAACTGCCGAACAGTGAAGTGGTGGCTTTCGAAGTTGCGGGACTGGCACCGTGGGGTATCCCATGCCGTCGAAGGGATAAGGGCAAAAGGTTGCCGTGTAGAATGCGCTGCATGGAACTTTGTCGTCTAAAAGGCTAGCTTTGCTCTCCTCGCGTTCGCCCAATAGAATTACTGTAAACACTGTTGTGAAATTGTAGCAGTCAGCCAAAGCGGATTTGGAGTCAGCAATAACTCGGGTTACTAAGACGTTAATTAAGGCCAGCGCACAACAGGACTCAGACACCAGTTACACCAGATGACTTACATGTTTCCATTGATTTACTTCGTAAGAGGGAAGTGTCACTTCGTGCCCCCTGTTCTTTGTATCGATGCGTTTAGCTGCCACTTCTTTCACACAAAGGACCTTCACCACGAAGCAAACTCCTCTCTGATTTTGAACATGCTTTGACTTGCGTGCCACCCATTGAATTACTCATGTCTTAGCATAAAAGTGACAATCTTATCAGGTGTCATGTTAGACTCCAGACAATTCTTGCATTTCGTTTGGGTGTGTTTGGCCCCTCAGGTGCTATGCCCTTTACCAGCTTCATGTCTCCAGATCAGGAAGGGGCCAAGATGGCGCCCAAACAGAAGGCCGAAACATGCCACACTGTTAGCAAAAGGAACCTAATTGGCCTCCATCCTACTAGCGATGGCTTTTCCTTGCATAAAGGCCCCTCCCTGGCACAGGTGGCGGGAGAGGGGCTGAGTGTCTGAGTCTGAAGACGGCCTAAGTGAAAAGAAAAAAGCGTGAGGAAGATGTCCGGGAGGAGCTCCAAGAAGACGACAGTCAAGAAGTATCGAGGGTGGATCGCATCCGACGGGCAATCCTCGAACCCTCCTTGAGCTTCTTTTGAAGTTTGTTCCATGAGCCAGCTGGGGGTTGCCATTGAAACGGGTAGGACTCAGCCTGCAGTGAGAAATCAATGGGAGGCCACCAGTTGTAAGCACAAGTTCGAAAGTTCTTCTGAAATGCCATCTGAACAATTTTTGCAACCTGATCCTGCTTCGGGAAGGCCGGACGAGGTACAAGACCGAATACACAACTCCCTGCGCCCTGTCTATATAATGCACAAATTCTGGCTCGTTTGGCATGGTCTGGCAAGGCCGCTTGGCCGCACAAAGAGGCAAACTGGCTAAACATGGAGGAGAACTGTCGTTCCAAGAATTGTTAAAGGTTAAAGGCATGGGCCTCAGTGCCTGACCTAGCCCAAGCAAAGCAATGCCCATCTGGCGGGGCCTTCCTATGCACAGGGAGATAGCATCGAGTATACAGCATGAAGCTGAGGACCAGTTCCATCCAAGACACACCTATATTAACAGGATTCGGGGGGCCAGGTGTCTGGGGCCATCGGATCTGACCCGCCCAATCAAGCATGCAGTGCATCAAGGAAGAACCCCAGCAGGAGTGGTCAAAGCAATTATTAGCACGAATAGCTGCCGCATCAAGCTGCCAAGCCTCTTCAATAGTCCAATTAGAACACAAAGTCGAGAAACGGGGCTCCAAGGGGTTTAAAGGCTGGAACATGTTGTTCATGCAGCTTACGATGGCTCTGCAGGGACAAAGAAAGGCGGTAAAATTGCTCAAGTACTTCCATCTCCTGTTTACGTTGCAAGGCTTGCATTTGCCATGCGTTCGTGAGAAGAGGATGACAGGAATTACAGACCTCTGCAGCTGCACGGTCTGCAACCATATTACCAAGTGCATGGTAGCAAAGCAGGTCAGGCAAATCTTGAGGGTTTGTGTGGGCCTTAATCTTAACAAGCCTATTGGAGTCAGCATGGGCAAGCTGCTGAATTCTGAGGCATAGTTCAGGATGTGGGTGACGGTGCAAGTGCACACCATGAACAGTCCGAGCAGCCTCGAAGGTAGCAATGGCACTGGAGGAATCCACATGAATGACCGCATGACAGAAGTATTCGCTGGCCCGAACCACTGCTCGAAGCTCTGCGTGATGAATGCTCTGAGCCTGCGGGCAGAGCTCCTGGACAATCACATACAATGTAGGGGGTGTCACGCCCAGCTCTTTGAAGCGTTGCGCATGCCAGCTGCGCTCAGCATCACTGCGACAGGAGTCCACAACCAGACTAAATCCTGCGTATCGCATCGACGGCAAAGTAGAGTGCAGACAACTACCATCTGTGTATACATGCAATGGAGAAAGTAGGGACACACACTCCTGTAGAGTCGCTAGCTCCGAAGGCTCAGGTGATCTAGGCCGAATGGCATATTGAAATGTGAAACGAAATTCATCATCCACAGATTCAAAAATGACCGGCAATTCAGGCAGCAAGGTGTCATCAGAGGTAATCTCCTGAATCAAGTTCTGGAAAGGCGAACGAACATGTTGTGTCGCATCGCATTCAAAGAACCGATGAAATTTGGTATCTTCCTGACCACACCATGGACAATCTGGGGTCACCTGGTCATCCCAGATGGCTTGTTGACTCCTTGTCTGATAGGCACCAGCGATTTCACGAACCAAGATGCGGCGCTCGGCAACCGTGAAACGAGAAAGGACCTGTCTCGTGAGGCGCTGATCAACATTAGGGAAATTAATCAAAGACCTTCGGTGGGAACGCAACACCAGGAGTTTATCTTGCCACGCCCGTTCAGCAAACCAGACCAAGCTTTTCCAAGGGCAGTACAGAAAACAAAGCTTGACAAATGTCGAGACTTGAATGGTGCCTTGGGCATCCATGGACCATCCTAATCGAACTAAATAAGTCTTAAGCGTTGAGGCTGGACCCTTAGAGGTGTTCGGCTTAGGAAAGTATTGCGAGACAAGTTTAAAGAATCGCTTATGCTGAGAGCAATCACGAGCTAGTAGGAATCTCCGGGCAGCTGCACAAGCCGAAGGAATCATATGAAGCTCTGGGTCTTTGACATACTTAGAGGCACACAGTGTAACAAGGGCTGAAGCCATGCTTTCAGAAGGCCCAACCAGAGCCTCAGCCACATGGTAACGGAGGGACCGAGTGTGTTGCTGACCAACTGGGAACAGTTCACTTCCATGGAAGGCTACCGGATAGACACTGGCCGAGATGACCTGGGCTTTGACATCAATATCTACATGGGAGACTTTGAGACGGGCAAGTCTCTCCTTAGCCTTGCTCAATCGATCATGAAGCTTACACATGCGAGCAGCACCCTGATAGCGTAATGGACACCCTAGATCACTGGCAGCTTGGACCTTGGCGACCTCAGGCAACTGAAGGCGATCAAATGCATTACGAACGGCACAAGCAAGGTGGGAATGTGACGTCCACCACCATGTTTTAGTCCAATCAATCTGAAGGCCTATAATCTTTGTCCAACGCACAGTGACATCAAGGAGAGGCTCAATGTCCATAACATCCTTCACTGCCCAAGCCCAGTTATCGGCGTAAGCGGAAATCAAAGAACTAGCAGCAGTGCGGGTACGACATGCAGCCGTCCAGCATTGTGCAACACCCAACATGACCAGGACTGAGAAGACATCCCCCTCTGGGAATCCACAACTGCTGTTGATCACATCAGAGCACTGGCCGAGAACTTCCCAACGTCTCGAAAGCTTAGCCAAGGAGCCAGACCATTGGGTCAGGATAGGCTCTGGCACACCCAAATGACGAACAATTTCAACACCACGAGACCTATTAATTGCGTTAAAGCATTTTACAAGATCCAGGGTGATGCCTGCACAGGGCTCGCCTGCAGCATGTGCCTCTTCGAAAAAGCATTGGGTGACACGCAGCCTCGAATGCACCACGGCCTGGTAGGAGCCCAGTGATGTCGCATGTCATGAACTGCCCAAAAGCTGTCAAGAGTTGACGACAGACCACCTGGGCCCAGACACGGTAGATCTGGGATAAGACTGTGATTGGCCGAACCTTGTCAGGAACAGGGGTGCCAACAGCCTTTGGGGCGGCAAAGACTTTAGCTTCCATGAACCAAGAGGGGAAGCCATCCGGATAGCTGTGGACCACTTGGATTAACATGGAAATGAGATGATCAGGCAAGGATTGTAGTTCGAAGGCAGTAATGCTATCTGGCCCCGGTGCAGCGTTCCACCTCAAGCCATTAATCACTTGTTTCCATGTCACCAAATTTTCCGAGTCAATATGCAAGTTCTGGCTTGGCAGCAGGTCCAAAAACTGTTGGAAAGCCACATCCAAAGCCGGAGAATGAAGGTGCGAATCATCCCTCTGCCAAATGGGTTCCCAGAATTGAGTCAGGTGATGACAAATTTGCTGAGGGTTGGTAACAAGAATATTTTGCCTCACTTGAACATTGTCAAGATCAACGAACTCAGCAGCACAAGACACAAGGATAGAGTGTTCACGAATGTCATGAAGCCAACCCGGCTGGTTATCCAAACACAAGTTACGAACCTTTTGAAACGCAGAAGGCTCGGCAACAAAAGCTTCATATCGAGCATGGCTTTTGGAAGTGACCCTCGTGCACAATGGGACCAAAATGGCAACTTGCTCACAGGCTTGCTCAACAGATTCTAGTTTGGGCGTGGAGCCTCGAACAGAAGCAAAAGTGAGCTTATTGTGACCTTGTTTCTTATCAAGCTGGAGACGAAACTTTTGCTTATCTTGGAAGGTCTGACTGTCAACAGTCATGGCCCTATTGACTTCATGACGCCAAAGCTGTTCAAGATCATTCAACCATTCCATGGTGGGTAAGTTCCAAGGGACAGGCCATAACTCCGGTTGGGACTGTAGCCAGGCCACAAGGACTGAGCTTGGTATCGAAACCGAAGAATGCATCGCCATTCCAGGATAAGGGTATTGTGCAATGCCTCCTTACAGAGCTTGCGTCTCAAGGATTGGACCCGCCGCAATTGCTTGATCATACCGGCTGTTACCACACGATGAATCTCTTGAGTAGGTTCAAAATCCCCACTCCTGGCTTTGGGGACTAGAGAAGTAATCAAGATCTGTTTGGGCTTCTGTGGCAAACACCTACCTCGAAAGGACCTGGGCAAGTGACGCGGCAAGCTAGCCCCAGAAGGTGCCTTACGGAGGGCAACGTCAACAGTTTGCTCCACTCGCTGGCCCCACTCCTCCAAGCTACTTGGTGTAGGCACATGAGCCAGGTCAGCATCAGCCTGTGTGAGGAGTTCACGATCGACAATGAGATCAGTGAAGGGCTTCGGCTTGGGCCAAACTTGTTTGAACAGGTTACCTGAAAAGCCGCAAAGGTCAAAAAGAACCACCTTATGAGCATCAAAGAGGGGTTCCTGAAGGACACTAATGGCTTTAAATCGAGGCGAAAGGTTCGGTGAAATGAAAGCAGTATCAGGATTAGTGGCCTCCTTGCAAGTCGGGGGCATGTTACCGCCATACATGTTGGTGTACAACTGTTGCAAGTGCAAAAAACCCAAATGAGCTAAACGATGAGCTGATGGTAGCTTGTACACATCTGCATTGAAATCACCAAGAATGATTGCTGGTAGATTGACTTGCTGAACTCTCTGGGTCGCCGTGGCCAAGAGCGCATCGTTGAACTCCTGGGCGCCCGAGTTGGATTGCGCCAGACCATAGATAATGATGAGCTGAATCTTCCACTCGTCAACAATCACATGCAGCAAGCGCAAATCAAGACC